GACCACAGTTTCACGAAAAGTGGAAGGCAGCGCCAGTTACGCCACCATTTGCGGATGGATTGTAGATGCTTGGGCTAACGTGCCTGCTGGCGCTGTTGTTCCAGCTTTCGCAAAAGCCGGCATCATTTCCGAGGAGCCGCGCGGCACGGAAAGTGACTCTGACAGCGAAGAAGGGGAAATTGGCATGTCTGATTTAGCGCAGCTGTTTAATTCAGAAACAGAGGATGATGACTTTGATGGGTTTGATTAATACTTTGAATTAAATACATGAATAAAGAACAATCATACTCAGTTTTGCTCCCGTTCTATTTTTAAATACGCAGTAGAGGTATTTAAACGTTATACAGGACATGTATCGGTATATAAAACCCACGCCCTATAATCCGGTGAGACTGCGCCTTTTGGTTGTGAAAATACGGCACTTGTTGGTTTCCTCCCCAGCAAGTGTTCAGACAAACTCATATTTGTAAGGCAGAATAGTGTCCTTGTCAGCAGCTCTGATCAAATATGATGCAGCATTGTTTTTCCCAACAATGACATCCAAACCTTGTACAGCACACATGCTTCATGATCAGACAGTTTTCTCCACGCACTCTTTTACCCTTAAAGCATTCCCATTCATTGTCTTTGCAGTATATGAGCGACTTTATAATGTTTATGTACAAATTTAAAGACAATATGTTTGCTTGGGAATGTGTCGGTTGAAATTATAGCTCCAGCAATTAATCACATTTTTAATTGTTTAAAGCATGTTATTATGTACTGTATAAGCAATGCATTAGCAATACATAACATTTTTTCAAGAAAAAAATGGACATCTCCAGTATCTCCTGTGTTTTCCTCCTTCAATGTGCACAATAACTAACTCTTTTCTATGTAGATCTTTTTGCAAATTGCACCAGGCTGTGCTAAACCTATAGCAGATCATGGAGGAAATGAATCAAAAGATTGACACACTGCAGAAAGGCCCATCACTTCCACAAGAGGCTCAAGATTTTCACCTAAGAGGGAAAATTCTAACAGCATAATCAGTAAGTCTGCTCTGTGTGCCAATTACTGGCACAATCATTCAGATGCATGATCAGAGGTATTTCACACCATTACTATAGTGCACATAGCACTGTAATTGTTTATTTTTAAAGAAAATTTTACAAATAAAAGTTTATGCTTTAGAATGCAGGAACATTTCATTTAGTAACGATGTCCTTTTGGTGGTCTTTGGAAAGCCAAATGTTTTATAGTCTGCTTTAATAAATCTAAATTCCATCATTTAATGGAACCATAGTATAGGAATCGACCATTCCTATACTATGTGCTTTTTTCTGCGAGAGATTCAAATATTCAATTCTGCTATTGGGGAGGACATGCAGTATGAAAGACATGAACAGTGAGAAAGTGTATTTATCTCTTGTTAAATTAATATAGCTTAAAATAACCAGGGAAACATCAGTAAGCCTCTCTGTTTTTCTGGCACTTTCCCAAGATGTTGAGATTTGCCTGGGCTTAATTTTTTACTAATTTATTACCTGCACTTAATTTCAGAAAAGTGGGATAACTGATTCAGGCTTATATTAATGCATACCAAGGACTTAACTTTAGAAAAGCAGAAAAGATAATGGCATTTACAGATTAAATTTTCTATCTAATTTATCTCTATCTGTCATGGCAAGTTCAGCATTTGATCGTCTGCAGGAGATTCCATTTGTGTGATTTATATATTATTTCTCTCACTGTGTTGTCATTGGGTATAGTTATGATTAGATTAGCTTAGCTTTGTATTAGGGCTACTGTACATCATTGCACAACAATGAGCCTCCTCAGTAACAGGCTAAATTTATGCACTAAAATGTATATCTTTCCAACACTAGGTTGGGAGGTGCGCTGTCTATAATCTTTCTTGTCCAGCTCTGCTCTTGCAGTTTCAATAAATCTCTTTCTCAGCAGCCCCTCCCCAACCAGTGTTTTTGCCACCCTAAGCAGGGATTAATTGTCTTTGTTCTCCAGGCTTTAGTTTGAATAAAGCAGGGAAAAAGCAAATTGTGCAATGGAACTGTTTTAATGCAAACATGTGCGGTGAAGTGAAAAGTTCTGAAGACAAAAAATTATAAAGATTTGTCATTAAATTGGACTTTCTGTTTTTATTTTGTTTTCCATATCTAGATTAAAACCAACCCCATTTTGGGAAATTCTTGCCCATTTTGCATACCCATATGGAAAAGCAAATAATTTAGGAGCTGTAAGATTGGGTGAGTAGAACCCAGACCAAGCGATATCAGTTCAAACATGAGTCGAAGTTGTTTTTTTATTCTCGGAAATGATAGGTCTTTTTTTAACAGCAGAAATAAAGGCATTCTCATTCTCATTGTATTACAGTTCTTCTACTTCATGTCAACCAGAAATGCAGAAAATTTCAGACCTCTAGCTACAACAGGTCCAGAGCTGTGGGGCTTTGAACTTTTGGTATCCGCTTGGAGCAGAGCGCAATGGCTCCACCCGCAGGTATCTGTGTGTCTCTCTAACACAAGCCTGCGATGCGGCCAGGGTGGTCCTGTGGAGCATCCAGCTACAGCGAGGCAAGAGCAGTTCTCAGAGTGCCCACTATCAAACCATTCTCCTCCGACTGAGAGAAAAAAGAGATGCACGAGCTGGCATCTGACAGGTCTGACCCAGAGTCAAAATGATCCCGAAAATCAGTGCCAGATGCTGCCAGAATTACTGCATTGTCATCCAAAGCAGAGAGTCCCCAACAAATGCTCTGCCCTCGGTCAGGGTCTCTCCAGTCAGGCTCACACCACAATTGCCCCTAAGGGACTTGAGTAGCGCTTTCATCCCCTCCAGCTCAGAAGCAAGATGGGCCACTTGCCTAGATATGCCCTCTGAAACCGTGGAGCTCCTCTTGGTCCTCTTCCGTGGAGGCCCCATAGCCGCTTTGAAGGCCAGCCAAACGAGCATTGCGAAGGGACAGAACAATTAGGGTAGGCAGCATCAGTCTAGGCATCTTTCAGGCAATCTGGTCCTAAACAAGGACACAAATCATGTCCGTCCTCTAACTGGAGAGGGGCCAAACAAGCTCTGCCGCATGGTGCGTCTAACATCTCATGCTCACGGGGCTAGGTCAGGTCAGCTGAAATAGCCACTCTTGAAACTTAAGCCAAAGGTCAGAAAATGCCACCTGGGATTCCCAAGCAGCAAAGTTGCAAGGAGCACTATCAAAGCATGGGATGAAAGTAAAACGCAAGCCCAAAAACAGCTGCTACGTAACAAAATACCGACAAGCCGAACACAGCTGCACAGTAAACGAAAAGGCAAACTCAAAAAACAGCTGCACTATAAACAAAAAAGCAAACTTGAAAACGGCTGCCTATCAGTAATATAGGAAAGCTCGAAAACGGCTGCCCAATAACTAAAAAAGCAAGCCCGAAAAACTGCTTTTTTAAATAGTTAAGAAGAATAAACTATGTTTTCTTAAGCTTCTTCCATTAAAGTACTAACTTGTATAAACTTACAATTTGTTGCCATTTTAGCTGAAAAAGCTTTTTATGTCTTACGAACAGATTTTTCAGTGGTATGACATCTAATTTTTTTAACCAACCCGTCTCCTAACTTTTACTTAAACATCAAAGTAGCTGCCGGTTAATATTCACTGAAAGCTGCCGTGTCTCTCCTTCAACCACGTAGCTACCCTCTAAGTAGTGAAATGCGACCGCAAGTCAGATGACTCAAAGCGACAGTTCTGATGATGTCAAACCAAGAGGCGGGACATGGGAGCAGCAGGGGACAGGAAAAAAAACCCTGACTGAAAATGCTCTGAACATAGATAGCTGCACCAAACCTCTGTTACCTTTGGCTAAAGGAAATAAGTGGAAAGGGGACAAAAAGCACAAATTAGTAGTGGGGACATTGGTCACACCAGTCCTTCAGAAAGTTACACCTGTGCTGTATTCAACCAAACACCGACGATTTTGGAATTCCCCCTGGAAATTCTTTTAGGTAAGAAAAGTAGGACGTCTGGTCACCCTATTCATGACTCCAGCATGTCTCTATTACAGACTGACACAGGAGTGGATTTTCACTCCCGTCCCGTCCCACTCCCACAGAAAAAAATTGTGTCCCGTCCCGATCCCGAGCCAGAGTAGAAATCTAAATCCTGTTCCGTCCCACTCCTGGTGAAATTACTCCCACTCCCATCCCGCTCCCATTCAGAATGACTCCCACTCCTGCACCACTCCCAGTCAGCTTGCGTTGCAAATCAAACTTTTCGAAGTCAACTGTCTAATCAAGTTGTTGACAGCACAGGTGCACCACGTTACATTCCTTTATAATCTGTACACCTCTGACTTCTAGTATAAGACAGAATCCTGTTATCTGCTGAAATACTCTGATGCCTCTATAGTCGTTATGCATCAGAGATGGACAAGAAGCTGATACAAGGAAATGGTGGAGCACCTTTGGCATTGTGTGGAAACAATCATCTGATCCTGAATGTAAAAAAGAAAGAAAGATGACTTTAGATTTCAGAAGAAATCAGAAACAAGATGAATCCTTTTAACAACATGGGAGAGGATGTGGAGGTGGGGTTGGCCCTATACATTCATTGGTGTTCACCTGAACATCAAACTTGGCTGAAGACAAAAGTTTGCAGATCCTAACAAGAAGGGGCGGATGATTAGTCCTGTTCAGATGAAAGTAAAGTCTGCCTTTAGTTTGGGAATCAGGGTCCCAGAGTCTGAATGTTAGACAGACCACAATGGATAAGTATAGGTGACAAAGGTCCTTGTTTTGACAAGACTCTCATTAAAATACACATTTAATCAGCTTTCATAGGGTATCGATCTCATGACTTCTCCTTTTTCTTTTTATTTCGCGTTAAACTGGAATATAGTGTTTTATTCATTCTTGACTAACTAGTGAAGAAGAAAAAGAGGCGGGGAGATTCAGGGAGGAGCTGATCTGGTACTGAACTACAGAAGAGAAACCACCTTCCACAGTCAACACAGTTCAAACATTAACTCTGATCATCATGGAGTACTATGGACTTTATCTTCTTGTTGCTTCACTTCTAAGAGGTCAGATTTAATTCTAAATATGAAGAAATATTCTTAGGCTAAAAACTAAGTTTTAGAACTAAGTCAGTAACAAATTTTTCCTCCTTTAGGTGTCTGTTCTCAAGATCTCACTCCACTGGCTGATGAAACCTTCACCATAGAGGGCAGCTCTGTTACTGTGTCTTACCGATTCTCTAAAGAACCAAGGGGAAGTGATGAGTTTTACTGGTATCGACAGTATCCAGGAAAACCTCCAGAGTTTCTGATCTATCATGTAGGATCAGGAAATAAACAAAATGACCAAATCCTTGGACTGAATATTCAGGTGAAGGGAGCTGATATAAGCCTGCTGATCCCCTCTGCTGCAGCGACAGACTCTGCTGTGTACTACTGTGCTGTGAGGCCCACAGTGACAGGAAACACCAGAACTCTGTACAAGAACCTGCAATACTCCACTACATCCACTAGAGGGCCTCACACACTGTTCTTCCTCTATGGTTTGTTATGAGTGAGGCTGAGGCTTCATCCTCTCATGCAGTCACTCGACAGTCAAATGCCTGTGATAGAACAAAAAATGAATGTGTGAAAAAAGCTTAAATGGTAATAAAACAATTAACTCTGCACACCAATGAAATAATCCACCATAGCGTTAATGTAAAATCTAAAATAATTTTACTCCAGATATAGCATATTTCAGTTTAAAACTCTTGACTAGACTATAGAAACTCAACAAACTAAGTGATATTTAAATGTTGCGCAATTTTACAATAAGATTATGAATATATTAAATACCTAGAACTGGAAGTTATAGTTAATTAATCGATAATTAAAAATCAAGGGTGAAACTAATTCATGATTATTATAAATGGAATTAGCTTTTTCACAAGTGTTCTTAGTCTCAGATAAAGGTTGGATTCCTGGTTTGGTTGTTAAGATCCAGAGTCTTTCACTAAACTAGAGTTATTAATCACCAACCAAATAAATCTGTCTCTGTCCATTGAGATGTTACTCAAAGGAGGGGGGATCTGACCTGAGTGATGATTTTTCTTGAGTGCATAAAATAACTACAAAAGACCAGAAGATAAAATTAAACGTTTCCTTTATTAGCTAATAATCTGTGCAAAAACTAAACATTACTGAAAATATAGACAGGTACATAAAGCACAAAAAAACTGGAAAAGGGGTTTTTTTCTTTAATCTTTAATAACCTTAGCCTAGCTCTTTAAACAACTGAAAAGGAAGAATCAAGCAGACAGTAACACATAGCTTGGATCATACAGTCCAGCTCAGTGAGGATTAGCATTCAGTTCAGAACTTAAAAACCATCAGCAGTTTACTCAGAAAGATACTTTCAGATAAAACACTAAATGTAAAATTATCTATTCTACCCATCTCTCACCCAGTATTTATTAAAGATCAGATGAAAGTGGGAAAAAGAGATTTACTTGTTGGCTCAGTGAAATGGAGGGGGCGGGGTTTGGCTGGTTTTGTTACGTTCCAGGCAAGAAGTCCGTCTCGATTC